ACAATTAATTCATTATGTGAACAAATTACATCCCTTAAGTTACAAACCGTTGAATCTCAAATTGGCGTTAAAGGAGATATTGAAACTCTTATAAGTGAGAATTCAAGTTTGCAAAAGGAGTGTAATAGATTGAGATTAGAAAAAAGTGATAATTTAAATACAATTAATTCATTATGTGAACAAATTACATCCCTTAAGTTACAAACCGTTGAATCTCAAATTGGCGTTAAAGGAGACATTGAACCTCTTAAAAGTGAGAATTCAAGTTTACAAAAGGAATGTAATAGTTTGAGATTAGAAAAAAGTGAAAATTTAAGTACGATAAGTTCATTACATGAACAAATTACATCCCTTAAGTCACAAATCGTTGAATGCCAAATTGGTGTTAAAAAAGATAATGAAATTCTCAAAAGTGAGAATTCAAGTTTGCAAAAGGAAAAAAGTGAAAATTTAAATATAATAAGTTCATTACGCGAACAAATTACATCCCTCAAGTCACAAATCGTTAAATATCAAATTGGCGTTAAAGGAGGCATTGAAACTCTTATAAGTGAGAATTCAAGTTTGCAGAAGGAATGTGATGGTTTGAGATTAGAAAAAAGTGAAAATCGAAGTACAATAAGTTCATTAAGTGAACAGATTACATTCCTTAAGTCACAAGTTGCTGAATACCAAATCAGCATTAAAAGAGACATTGAAACTCTTAAAAGTGAGAATTCAAGTTTGCAAAAAGAGTGTAATGGTTTGAGATTAGAAAAAAGCAAAAATTTAAGTACAATAAGTTCATCACATGAACAAATTACATCCTTTAAGTCACAAATCGTTGAATACCAAATTGGCGTTAAGAGAGACATTGAAACACTTAAAAGTGAGAATTTAAGTTTACAAAAGGAATGTAATAGTTTGAGATTAGAAAAAAGTGAAAATTTAAGTACGATAAGTTCATTACATGAACAAATTACATCCCTTAAGTCACAAATCGTTGAATGCCAAATTGGTGTTAAAAAAGATAATGAAATTCTCAAAAGTGAGAATTCAAGTTTGCAAAAGGAAAAAAGTGAAAATTTAAGTATAATAAGTTCATTACGCGAACAAATTACATCCCTCAAGTCACAAATCTCTGAATACCAAATTGGCGTTAAAAGGAACATTGAAACTTTTACAAGTGAGAATTCAAATTTGCAAAAGGAGTGTGATAATTTGAGATTAGAAAAAAATGAAATTTTAAATACAATAAGTTCATTACGCGAACAAATTACATCCCTTAAATCACAAATCGCTAAATATCGAAATGAGAATTCAAGTTTGCAAAAGGAGTGTGATAGTTTGAGATTAGAAAAAAGTGAAAATTTAAGTACAATAAGTTCATTACATGAACAAATTACATCCTTTAAGTCACAAATCGCTGAATACCAAATTGGTGTTAAAAGAGACATTAAAGTTCTTAAAAGTGAGAATTCAAGTTTGCAAAAGGAAAAAAGTGAAAATTTAAATACAATAAATTCATTACGCGAACAAATTACATCCCATAAATCACAAATCGCTGAATACCAAATTGGCGTTAAAAGAGACATTGAAATTCTTAAAAGTAAGAATTCAAGCTTGCAGAAGGAACAACTTGAAAATTTAAATACAATAAGTTCATTACGCGAACAAATCGCCGAATATCAGATTGGCATTAAAAGAGACATTGAAATTCTTAAAAGTGAGAATTCAAGTTTACAAAAGGAGTGTAATAGTTTGAGATTAGAAAAGAATGAAAATTTAAGTACAATAAGTTCATTACATGGACAAATTACGACTTTACTTGATGAGAACAATAAGTTAATTCAAGATGCTAGTAATAAAAACCATAATAGTGGACGTAAGTAATATTTAAAGGTTGAAAAGTTTTGATTACTTTTATTTATTATTTTTTTTTAATTTTTATAGATAATGCTTGGCATGATGTTAATTGCGATTTATGTGGACTTCAAATAAAAGGATATCGTTACAAAGTAATCTCCATAAATTTTTTATGTGCGCAAAAAAAAAATTATTTATCTCTTATTAAAAATCATTCCTCGATGAATAGTGCGGTCATTGTGCCAACTTCGACTTATGTGAAGCGTGTATTGGTTCAACCCATAGGCCAGAACACATATTCCTCAAAATCAAATATCCTGTTTATCTTGATCCACGAATTATATTACTTCCGGAAATCGTTTCTGCACCAATGGAGACAAGTAATAAAAATAATACTTTTTTTTTTTTTTTTTAATTATTTTATACTGATTTGAGCTCTTTTTATAGATGTGCATGTTGAAGTCGTTTGCGATATTTGCGGAAAAACTCCCATTTGTGGCATTAGATATCAAGTAAGTTAGTTTATAGATGCTTCTAAACATTCTATTGATCATCGATTTCCCTCATTTACCCAATTTTTTTCTTTTATAGTGTGGACATTGTCCAGACTTTGACATGTGTGGGCAATGTGAACTAAATTATCGCGAGACAAATTACAACCACGATTCCTCACACGTGTTCATGAGAATTACTCAACCAATTCATAGATCTAATTATTATAATGCGCCCATATTGCCCAAATTTTATTTTCCTTTATAATTTTAACCTCAGTATAGACGTATACATTTTCGTATAAAACTAATATGTAATGATGATGATACCCGGTTTTATTTTTCATATGTTAAAACCGGTTTTAATATATGAAAAATATAAAACCGGTTCCAAACTCTAGTCGAGAAAGTCAAGAAAATGGATCACATGACATGGACATGGATATGGTGAAATTATGTGACCAAGACCATGAACGATTTCGTTTTTCTTATTTTTTTTCTTTTTATATGATAAATTATCATTTCTTCTATTCTCTAGTATTAATATCTCAAATAGCCATATGATTAGTATTAGCAAGTATAGATTAAACCTCAAGGTCGGTATCTTTCGAAATATAAATAGCCCAAATATTTCACTGTGAATTTGTGTGCTCTTCCATTTGTTAACAAACTAATAAAGCATAATCGTGTCTTCATATACGAATAATTCGAGTCTTTATCAGTGATGACATATTGTCATTTAAAAATAATGCTGAAATTTCGACTTATTTTATTATGAAGATTTAAATTTTATTTTGGGTGTTTTGTTTAGCCTTTTTTTTATAGTTCGATTAGAATTTGGGTTAATGTTTATAATAAAAGAGTATAGGTGGATTTTAATAGGTTTATATTTTCAAATTAAGACGCATCATCCCCGACAATAAGTGACATTTTGTCATATGACAAGTCATTTTTGTCATATCATTTATAGATCATATCATTTTTTACTAATCAATAATAAATTTTATATAAGCCAGAAATCTACAATTCCATAACACAATACACATACACTCACCATGAATTGAAATTTAGCTGTATAGCGTATTATACCTTGGATACAGTGGTTTACGCTATATGATAACTACTCAATAACCTAAATTTTTTTGTTCTAATTCGAGTAGATGTTCGCCTCAGTAAAATAACAAAAAAGAAAAATATAAATATATGTGTGGTTAATTGAGCTGGAATAAAGAGAAACGGGGCGGAAGGCCTTAGAGTCTTTCTCTATATATAGTTGTAGTCCAAACTATTTGGGATAACCAAAATCATGCAATATTTAGTATCACATCATTTTAACTTAGCTAAAATATGGTTTGGGTCATTCCAAATGGCAATTATATCTTACTCTTAAGAATTCAGCCGATATCTGGCTCCAGACTAGGGGTGGTTAGGTTGGTTTAGGTTTGGTCTTGGTTTCAAAACCTTTAGGCTCCATTTTGTAAACCTAAGAACTTGGGTTTTAAAAAGTTCCGGAACCTGGTTTCAAAACCTGGTTCCGAAACCTGGTTCTAGAACCTGATTCAGACATAAGTTTTATAGAACAGTCAGACCATCTAAATGCAACCTTCTATATACACGCCTTGTGAAAGCCCTCCTAAATATATGTCTTGGGTCCAACTAATACAATAAAACCTTCATAAATGCGTCTCTATAAGTGCGCACACTCTCTAAAGCATTCTTAAATTCGGGCCCAAATAAAACGCTTGACCCTCGCTAACATCAACCAATTCGGATCACTATTATATTCATGTTGATAGTGATATTAGTGAGGGATTATAGTAAAGTTGATATATATGTCGTGCCTCAGATTAACGCTTGCCTCAGTTTAAAACTGGCCTAAATTAGCGTTAGAGTTAGGGTGAGGATGAAGGTATAATTTAGGCTAATTATTGTCGATCAGTTAATGCTGGCAATCTGAGGTGCAATCTGAGAAACTGAGGTGCAATCTGAGGCAAGCGTTAGTCTGAGGCTAGGGTTGTTAAATTAATGTAAGTTACATGTAAGTTATTGTAATTTACACTGTAACTTTCACTATAACTTACCTGACTTAAGTAACTTACATGTAACTTACCATGTAAAGTAAGTTGTCAGGTAAGTTTTAACAACCCTATCTGAGGCACAACATATGTAAGATAAAAATTTGTCTTGTGGCTTAGGTTGATATTAACGAGGGTCAAGCGTACATGATCACTATAAATGTACCTTTTCTTATTGTTTTCTAAGAACCTAACATGAATTTAGGAACCTATCATGAATCTAAGAACCTATTATAAACCTAAGAACCTATCAAAATCATGAGTTTTCAACGAGCCGATTGTTGATTAAAGTTCTATAAAAGTAGCTTAAAATTAATCATAATTACAGTGTCTGGAGTAGGGATGGTAAAAGTTTCTAGATTTGGAAACTTAGAACCTGGTTTTAGAACCTGGTTTTTAAAAACAAGGTTCCAATTTTGGAACTTAGGTTTTTAGGGTTTTTAGGTTCATGATAGGTTCTTAGGTTCATCATAGGTTCTTAGGTTCATAATAGGTTCTTAAGTTCTTAGGTTCATATTCACAAAAGCAAACTGATCAAAAATTGGAACAAATATACAAATTAAGGACTGTAATCTTTGAGATTTAACTTTTATTGCAGTATTGTAGATTTCGTAATTTGGCATGTCAGGAACGTAGTGAAACGGAGTGTATAAACCGTTAGCAAATCTCGAATCTAATTAGCTGAAAACGTTTATTACTACGCTACATCTACCAGATTTTATGTAACACGGCTTCTAATTTCATTCTAACCTTTTTTTTTTTTTCTCGCATTGATCTATCGTAATATGAGTACTTCTATATGCTAATTGGCGACATCATACGTAATTGAAAACACATACCAGACTAAATAAGTGGCAATGAAACATATTTTGTCAGCGCTCGTAATAACTTTAAGCTAAACTAACACATCTCTTAGCATAACCACCAAAATCACTAAAATCAGTTCATTATAATTATTAATTAAATGAAAAGATTCAATTAAAAAATGATATAATAATATAACGTCTTAATAGTAGAAAGTGCCAAAAAAATATGATTTTGGATTTATCCAGAAATTTGGTGATTTTATTGGTTAATGTTAATAATTTCGAGTAATCTTGTCTCCGATTTCTACTCCGAAATTTAACCGAATCTTACAAAATCATATTTTTGATTTACAGGAGTAGTTTGAGCCATTTCTACTGCAGAAGTATGAGTTTATTATAAAAATTCTTGAATTGTTTTTAGAAGGTACGATAATAAATTTAACCAGTTTTGGCAATAGCCAATTGAATATGTACATAAATTGTTCAACGGTAGTTTAGGTAATAGTCTTACTGGATTTGACAAAAGTTGCAACATTAATTTTTATTAACCAAAGCTATTTTTAATTTATCGCTACAGTTTGTGAGGGTTACTATGTCCAATTGGTTTCGGACATATGTCCAATTGGTTTTGGAAATATGTCCAATTAATTTGAAAACAATTGGACATAGTAACCCTCACAACACTGTATCGCTAATAGAAAGCGTTTTTATTTCATTCATTTCATACTCCTGGAAGATGTTTTACTTTTTCTAAGTTTTTATATTGTAATACTATAGAATATCAATTGTAAAATAGATTGCATAAGATAATTAGGCAATATTTTACAATTATTAGAAAGTTCGTCCCTACATTCGGATATTTAATAAAGCCTAACGAACATACTACATTCATGGTCAAGTGCGACTACGTCCGCAGCTACTATAGGGCTGAAGATAATTAGATCTTATTAATTACATCATATAATTAATTGTGGGTACTTGATCAACAGGAGAAACCGTCCAAATATAGATATGATTTTCATTCTCCGTTACACAGATCACTCATTGTATCGACCAGTCA